CTGGAGATAGCTACCTTTGATTTGATGGTTTTATTAGCTCCAGGCATATGGGCTGACACATTAAGTCAGAGAGCCATAGGATGTCAATATTACAAGTTCCCTGAGTGATTCCCTAATGGAAACTGAAATCCTACAGGAGAAGTGACTTCCCAAGGCCACAGAGGAAGATGGTGACATGCCAGATTCTAGGTTGGAGATGAATCTTTACATCTGCCAGCTTCAATCTGCCACTCCTCCACCATACCGGTTTCTGTCCATTAGTGCATTCATAGGGGTCAGTTCAACAGCTCGCTTTCCAGCCTAGCAAATAAGAAGAAATAGCAGGTCCAGGCCAGGTTGGCTCTGATGTAGGAGGCAGCAGGAGGGAGGAGAGCACAGCTTAGGAAGGGCCATGCAGGGCTCTGAGCTTTGAGGGCAAGGGAGTAGGGACAGCATAGGGTAGGGTGTGGGAGAGTAGGTATCACAAGGGACAAAAACAGGGCTGGGAAAAGGCAATGAGAGGGCGCAAGGACACATTCCATCTGGTGAGTCTCTTCCTTTAGTTCTGGATGGATCGGGGATATTTAGGAATGGGATATTTTTTCTTAAAGTAGCAAAAATACTGTCCTAGAAGTTAAGAAGATCAACCACCTGGTTTTATGATCTTGGATAAGTCATGTGCTCTCCCTGAGCCTCAGTTTCCTCATCTGTAGTAATGATCACACTGACGGGAGATGAGACACTGTGAAAACTTTTACATATGTTATAATCCTCACAGCAACTCTTCAGGGACCTCTCCCTTTTTCAGATGAGAAAATTTAGATTCTGAGGCAGCAGGAACTTGTCCAAGCATATGTAGCAGACAGTGGCAGAGCTTGGGTTTCACCTGAGGTTAGTCGGGGCTCCGCCCCATGGCTCATTTTCCTGGGCCCCTAATCATCTATTGAGCAAAAGGCAGAATCAATGACCTTCAAGATCCCTCGTGTTTCCAAATTCAGAATTAAGCAATTATGCTAAATCTCCGAGCCTTGGTTAATTCATCTACTCTCTCTGAACATTGTATATATCTCTTGAACAATTCTAGCCAGTTGAAATCTTGATGTTTATTCTGTACAAAGTTTATAGACCTTCACCAAAATTAAATAGGACCAGACAAATGGCACCCTAGTCTTTGAGGAATAATAAAGACTTTGTCTTTTAGAGATACACCATTCATTCACCAAATCCAAGCTCTCCCTAGAGCCATAGGGTGCCGAAGAGCTCATTCTTTTTCCTACAATGCAATTATTTAATTACTAATGGATATGTTGCGATGTTTAAGAAACTGAAATTTGGCTCCTAGATTCAAAAGTATTCTCAGTTGTCCTTCTAGGCAATGGAATGATTGACATTCTCTAAAGATGACAGCCATGTTGGATTATCCCAAATACTTGAGTCTTTACTGCTAGGAGAGCTTCCTCATATCCATTTGAGGGATCTAGTTTAATCCTATATCTACATGCCATCCTCATATGTAAAAATAAAAATTTTCATGAAGAAATTCAGCTTAGAAACATATTCCTTTTTTTCTGGATTTTTTTTAATGGTAGATATTTCTAAATGCATTATTGGGTCTTTTTGGCTTCACATTGGGTCTTACTAACACATATGATCATCATCCTTCTGTCCTGGTTTTGCTGTGGATTTTTAATTTTCCCTAAATAACTGCTCCAGAAACTCTCAAAGTTACCTAATTAGTGATTACACTTTGCAAATCAAGAAGAGCATCTCCCAGCTAGTTGACTCAGTCAGTTAGAGCAGGTTGCTAATAATTAGGCCACAGCTACAGGTCTGGGCTGCGCGTGAGCCAGTTAGTAAGTGCAGACAGCACACAAAGGTGAAGATAAGGCTGTGGTCCCAAGAAGGACCAGGCAAGGATGCAGATGTCCAAGAGACATCCATCCCTACTAAAAGGAAAAAAAAATGCTACTGAGTCATAATATCACGTTGCAATGATTGGAAACAAAAAGGAAGGGAAGGAGGAAGGATGAGAGAAATGGAGCAGGAGGGATAGAAAGGAAGGAGAGACGAAGGGAGGGAAGGAGGAAACCCAACAAATAATCCCAGACAAGTTCATGGAGATAAATAATAAAGGAGGACTCACAGAAGGAGCGGCATCTGAAGTATGGCACGACCCCTGATCAGGGCTCTTGTTCCTAGCGGGCCGTGACGCAGCTCCATCTTTACCTGCTCGATGGATCTTGCACTGCTGATGCACTGCTTTAATTTGGGAAGCCTTTCTCTTGAGAGGCATGTCTTTTCTTGCTCTAAGTCTAAAGTGCTCCCATGTGTGGCATTCTCGGTGACAGATGTACTACAGTTATGCTTTAGCTGACTCCAAAGCCATAGCTTCCCAGTGCCTGAGTGGTCTATTTGATGTCCAAGAGTGTGTTTCTTCTGAGAGCAGGTCTTTGCTGGAATATCATCCAAGAAGGTAGGAAGGTATAATCCCTTTGTTCTAAAGCAGCCCCTGTTAAATTCTGCAATCCCTGCCCACCCAAAGGCTATTCTCTCAGAAGGTCCAAAGTCCAACTGCTGAGGTGCATCGAAGCCCTTAGAAAGCCTGTGGATAAGTGCTAAGATCTGAGAGTCCTCTCTCTTCTCTACCCACCCCCCCAAGGTTATTCCATTTTCATGGATGACCCCACTTCTACATGACCCTCTGTAAGGACAAGGATTTCAAAAATACTTGAACACCTCCAAGGACACAAGAGCCTCTTTCCAGCCTCCCATCCATAGCTCTCCTTTTTATAGGAGTGTTGGAGTCTCGATGATGGGATGGATCTAAGACATGACTGGTGGGGCCAGCCAATTCTCTATGTGTCCATCTGTGATTATTTTGCACGTCTTGTCACTGGTGAAGCACTGTCATTTTTCTCTGAATTCTAATCTTCCCACCATCCAAGCCCATTCTTGAAGGAAGGCAGAAATGTAGCCACGGGCCATTCTGTTGGAACTTGTGCCACTTGTCCTCTAGCAGGAGTTGCAGCTCCCCCTGCCAGCACTGATGTTTGCTGAAGGAGGCCTTGCCCACTCTGTCTCACATCCAAGGTGAAGAAATTTACTCCATCTACCAGTCTGAGTTCTCTCTGGGCGTCCTGAGTAGATCAGAAAGGGCTTGAGTCTTAGCGAAAAGACTTTTCCTCTTAGGCCTTAAAGTAGCTCTGAAGTTAAAAGTATAGAAAGCTCACTGCTATATAAAGTTGACTTCTAAAATTAAAAGATATCTTCCATTTTGGACTTAATACTTGCTTTTTTAGTATTTTCACTTGAGATAATAGTCTAATTATTCCACGGCCCAGTACCTGAGGGAATAAAAAGAGAATTTGAAGTTTTGATTGTAATTGCTTATATTTTCTTACTGTGCCTTTATTGTAAGTATAACTCTTGGCTTACTTTTCTCTCGGATAGTTTCCTGCCTTGTATTTATAAATTACTTTCAGTGACATTTATTTAGTAAAGACAAACTGTGAGCTGCTTAGGAGGCTGAGGCAGGAGGATTGTGAGTTCAAAGCCAGCCTCAACAACTTAACATGGCCCGAAGCAACTTAACAAGAGTCTATCTCTAAGTAAAATATTTTTTAAAGGGCTGGGTATGTGATTCAGGGCTCTGTGATTAAATGCCCCTGGGTTCAGTCCTCAGTACAAAAAAAAAAAAAAAAAGACAAACTATGAACAATCTAACATACCAATATCACCACAGAGCTGTGGCATAATAATTACTAATAAATTAACTGGGACTAAAAGTCTTCAAAATGCAGAGAGCGATATGATCCTACAATTTGATAAAGACAGGCTGATACATCTAAAAACATGGACATATTGAAGGCAATCGATTCCTGGCATCCCAAAGCAAGAAGAAAGCATCA